TAGACGGTTGTGTACGCCACACAGTAAGCTGGCAAGAAATCAAAGACAGCCATTTTGGAACCAGTAGCAGACAAGCACATCTTCACCCTCTCATTTGGTCTTTGAATGTTAGACTTCTCTGATAGGCAATGCTTGTGGAACTTTTCGGGTTTGATTTTTATAGCCTAAGTAAAGGGGCTTTTTATTAAGTTTGTTTTTGATACAAAAGTTAATGGATCCACTCTACAGATCCAATGAATAGTCAAGGATAATTTAAGATGGTACTTTTCGATGTACATTGTACAACAAGTGTGTTTTGTTGATATCAGCTCCATTTGAGTCATGTGAATTAATTCAGCCGTGCTGACAACCAAATGACAATGGGCCAAACGAGCCAAGGATGCACGGAGTTGCCTGCCGTCAACAGTAAGCCAAAATGAAGCCTTGTACGTTTTCTCACTAGTCGTCTGGGGTGTAGAGTTCTTCTTATTAAGTCCTGTGTAGGTGTAAGTGTGATCGAAAGCTTGCAGCAGGGGTGAGTAGTACACATGTCTGGTTGACACAAGTTTTTTGACCTCATTGCTTGCTGAAGCTCAGCGGTAACAACAAAAGGCGTGCCATTCAACTCCACTTTCAAGACATCGTGTGTGGGTGCGCACAGGCTGAGTGGACAAAGGTGATGGTGCGTGTAGTCTTGTATTGCATAAAATTCACATTTTTTCGTCCTTACTTCTGGTTCACTAGTACAAAAAATGTATCCCTTACTTTGATTAAAAATCTATTCATCGCTACTCAAATGTCAGTCACAGTCTGCTTAGCGCAAATATTTAACGTGGAAAACTAATGATACCCACAAATGCCAAACAAACTTCAGCTTAAGTTGTCGCGTTCCGTGGCATAACATGGGCACTGGAGACTGGAGACCATTAATAGAGTTTTTATGGGTGGGGCATGCTGATGCAAAATTTCTTGCCTAACTAATGTGAGCTGTCCGCCCATGGATCTCTTCTCTATACAGTGCCATCAAAGCATGTAGCCAGGTTTACTGACCTTAAAACAAGCGTGCAATGTGGACAAAACTTACTTATCAGACAGTTACATCTCATAACATATTGAAAGAGTTCTGCAAATGGAGCTGTTTGCCTTTTGTCCTTAACACAAATTTTCGCTAACCATCAGTTAGTCTATTAAAGGAAACTTTGTTCCACTCAAGCATCAACTACAAAAGCAATCTTTGAATTTGCATGCAGTACGAAAGCGCACTTTGTATTTCAGTGAAGGTCATGCCATTTTATCTTTCACTGTGTCGCAATAAGGGCAATCATTCGCACCCAACGAAATATTCGACAACGATTTCCTTGCAACTAAGCAAACAACTTATTCAGCGCCACTGATTACAAAACCGTAAACCAGTTGTTGCCCTTAAAGTGCTCTATCTCAGACGAACTTTCCTAGTATGCGTCCATAAGCCCTTTTGTGTTGAATCTTTAACCATCCAAATGAGCCAAGGTTATTGGCATGGTCCGAAGCTCGTGCCACCAGGCGGTGGACGACGACGCAACTAGTGCATT